TTTGTGTTATCAAAAACAGTATTAAAATATGTATTTGTTATTAATTAAGCAAACGTCAAAGAAGTGGCCCCTTAATTTGAGAATAATTAAACTCACCTTGTGACAATACCATTTTCCGTTCAGGTTATTTTCACTTAAATGAAAAAAGTATTCCTTATCATAAAAATTTAAAATGCATACAGTACAACTAAACATTTGCCAAGTCTGTGTGATTTGGAGGCACGTCTAGTCGATCCGGGGCCCTAAGCAATTGACGCGTTTCTCGGAAAAACATCATTAGTCCAAAATTAACATATTTGGGAAAATGATAAAAACTCTCCGACATTCTCATTTTTGACCAAAGTACTTTATTGACCTATTTACTACATGTACAAAAATGTAAGATACTTTGTCCAGAATTCCTCATGTTTTTTTTTCAAACGAATATGAAAAAACACAAAAAATACATGAACATGTGAGGTTTTTAGAAGAAAAAAACGAACAATTCTCCTTACTACAAACTAAATAATAACTCTGAGTAACAAAATAAATGAAAAAAACTAAAAACTGTATTACTGCCACACTCAGTCTTCGCATCTATACTGCTGTTATCATCGTTGTCGACCGTGTTATCAGGACTGTCAGGTGCTATGGTCTTCTGGTCTTTTATCAAGTTATCATAAAATTTTCTATTGCTGTGGTCATGTAAAAGAGGTAGAAGCTTTTCTAGAGTATCCAAAAACGTCACATGTTATGCACATGTGACTTTCTTAGACGAAACGGAGTGGACTTGTGATGTTTTTAGAAGAACAAGCTAAATTTCATTTCATTCATATTTAATTATTATGGAACCTATGACATTTTTACGAGAAACACTTATTTGTATACGTATATATGGAGGTTAGGAAACAGTTGGTGCTAATATCTAAATTTCGACGATATTGGACTAATGATGTTTTTCCGAGAAACGCCTCAATTGCTTATAGGTAAATCCGGGCCTGCTGATGACGTTGGGGTACTGAACTTACAGCATTTAGACTTTAATATAAAAAAACAACATAGTTTTTCTAAACACCTAGTATATTAGTATATATACTATATAATATAATATATTATACAAACTAGCAAAATAAATAACAAATACTTATTTTAATTCACCAACCAACCTGTTAAGTGGCTTGCCTATATATAGATTGTTATTATATTTATATATTTCATCAATAATTATCTAACATAAAACTGTATAAATAAATTAATGAAGTTTAAATAAAAAAAATATATATAATTATTATAGCGCGGAACTTTTCCAGCGATGACGTCATAATGTTTACAAAAATCAGACATAAAAAAGTAAATTTTTTTCTTAATACATGTGCAAAAAATAACTATAATATCACAATAAAATTTTTATGTAATCGCTGGAATCGCGGTATAATAATTATTTTAATCTTATTAAGAGTAGAGATGCATCCGAAACCGATATACGATATTTTAATATTTTAATTTTTGCCATACTAATTTTAATTAATTACTTTCAATACTTATGGGTTTGTAATTGTAAGTTTGTTAAATATTATTATTCAACTTGATTTGTGTCATAGCAATACATATTCATAAGTATTGGTATCGGTATCGTATCGACCAAAACGCGTATCGATCGTTCTATTTTCAGTCAGCCTATTAGAACGGGTACAAAAATAATGATTTTATTTTTATTAAAACATTTTTTTTATTTAAATATTCCCAATAAGAACGGCAAGAGGTTTGTTAATTCGATATATGACACTTCGTCATATTCTCTCACAAAAAAAACTGGTCGAATTCGACCATTTTTAGCGTCACGAGATTTTATATTTTACTAGAAGTTTCTTGGAATGGACTTGAACCCTTTTTTACTTACCGATTTATTTGCAATTATATGTCCATAATATTTAATGTTAGAATATTTGGTATTAATAAATAACCTATTTTTGTGTTTGGTTCCAAAAATAGCCATTTTACTTACACATTAAAGTCCGTAAAATGAGTCTTCGGACTCAATCCCAAAAGTTGCCATGAAAACTTTTGAGGATCACTTAGCTAAGTAAAGCAAAAAGGTTTAATCTGGTTTGATCAGGGCCGGATTAAGAGTTTTGAGGCCCTGGGGCCGACATTTCTAAAAAATTTGACACTTAGGAAATTAAAACTCATGGTAAATTTTTAAGCTAGAGGAACTTTACGTGATTTTTAATTATCATTGAATCATTTATAATTTAATAAACCATATAAATTTTAATAAAATCGGCCAAAGCGTTTTAAGCTAGGTATAAATAAAAAACTCATTTTTTTTCAAACGAAACATCCTGTATCTCGATAATGAAGCATTCTCGAACACGTGTTTATAGGAACTTTTTTTCATATTTTGATAAGAGGAATTTCCCCTGAGCTTATGTCACCACCAAGTCTGAATCACCCTGTATATTTTGATTAATACGAACATAACCTTATATACATTTTACCCAAGTCTAAGAAATTATAAATTCGTATAAAAACGTAGATAGTAGATAAAAACGTAGATAGTAGAATAGATTTGTGAATGAAAGTGTTTTTATATACTTTATATTTTATATAATATATATTATCTTAAATAATACGAATATAACCTTATATATATTTTACTCAAGTAAAATATAAATTGATCTATGTTTTGCTTGTATTTTTAATATTTACCGCGAACTGAAAAAAAGTGCATCAAAAGTCGTATTATTTGTCTGTTTTTCATACAAAATCAAACAATAAAACAATCTTTTATCCATAGAAAAGCACGAAACAGTATTTCGGAAACACTGGAAAATATTCAACAACACTCCAATGTACCAATACAAATCTGGGACAAAAACTAACGTTCATATTAGATTATAAGAAAATTGACTGTATTCAGGGGCGGATGGGCTCCAGCGGGACGCACTGTGGTTCAATCGCCCACTTTAGCGCGAATTTAGTAAAAAAAAATTTTTTTATCGTATCTTAAATTTATATTTTATTATGGACAGGACAGTTGAGGAGCGTTTATTCAAAAAGGGACATGTCCATTTTAGCGATTTGCAGAAACAAGTCAAAAATAACAGAATTCCTTTGCTTTTGACTTATTTCTGCAAATCGCTAAAATGGACATGTCCCTTTTTGAATAAACGCTCCTCAGTTTGGAATTCAATTGTACAGGTAAAAAAAAGTGATAAAGAAATGATAAACAGATTTTTTGCGGCTTTGATTTTAACAATTTATTTACTGCATTTTCAAAAAATCTTTTTGATATAGTTGCTTTTACTGTTGCAGTGCTGCATATTAAAAAAAATCTGTTCATATTAGTTTTTATTGATTGTTTTTATTATGGAAAATCCTATTCCAGGTAAGTTTTTTTTGTTTTGATGTATTTTTTTCTTAATTGTCTTAAGTATTAAATAAAAGTTGTATTTGTTACTTGTTAATGAAAATATAAAAAGGCACTCCGAGCCACCAACTTTCAAGTAAATATTATTGAAGACGTATATCTTGGCTATAAATCTAAAAACGTCCCGTTCTCCCTTTCTCTCCCTTTAAGCAGGAATTTTGATTTTTAGGTACCTCTGCTGAAATCCCGCATTTGGACATATTTGAAAAATGGTTTTTAATTCGTAAATTAAAGAAGGGGGTTGCAAAGTTCTTTAGGAGTTTATTAAAATGAAACAGAAAAATATTGAAATTGAAAAAGTTGAAAAAATTATGATAAATTTAGAAAAAACGTTGGAAAAAAAGCCGTTTTGAAAGAAAAAAATTTACAAAAATTAATCATGTATGGCTTAAAACTAGATTGGAGAATATCCACGAAAATCCAACTAGAGGTGCCATGGGTAGGCCTACTTTGCCATTTGAAAATAGTGGTAACAGATCCAAAAAAAAAAAGTACAAAAAATTATTAATGCAAACAGCCCAAGTGCTATTCTTTTCGCTACTCAAATGGCATTGCGAAAACAGGGAAGAAGAGACGCTGCCAACATAATTGAACATGTCGCAGTTTCTAGTACTCCAAGTGACATAAAAAAATACAAACAGGTATAGCTAAGCAACAATATCCAATTCTAAAGCAGAGGCGCATCCAAAAAATTTAGCTTTGGAGAGGGGGATCATAACTTAATCACTTTCGCTTTAAAAAACTTAAACGATACGAAACTAAAAAAAATAGTCTTAGCAAAATTTCAGATTACGCCCCTCTTTGGTTGCGCCTTGACTATAGGAACACAAAATAACTGTTTTCATCTTAGTGTTATAACTTACAATATTAGTGGCGTCTGTAACCTATTTAAAATCTAACAAGTATTTTTTAGACGATATAATTAGTAACATAGTTAATTTATTTTATTTCAGCTATATAAAGGTGCTCCTACTGTTACAATTGTGCCAATAAGCCCAGAAGAAGCACTAAATTTAATTATTAATACAAGAAGTAGCCGGGCATCATATCTCCAATATAGAGAGGCTGCAAAGAAATGCAACGCAAACATTTATCCATCTTGGCACTGTGCCAATGGCACAAGATATTGTCTGCAAAACAGGCTTGTTATCCCCCGGACTCTGACATTATATTATCTCCTACAAGTGTGGAAGTTAAGTTACAAGGGCTACTTAATCTAACTGCATCTAGAATATATCAACTTCAAGAAGATGTTCTAAACAGAGCTTCTAAAAAACTAAATCTTTTATGTAAATGGGGTTTAGACGGCAGCTCTGGCTAGAGAAATTACATACAAAATACCAAAGCAGGACAAAAAGATTCGTCTGTTTTTATTATTTCAGTAGTTCCTTTGCAATTAACAGATGCCAACGATACTAAAAAAATATTTTGGAAAAATCCAGTTCCATCTTCTACAAGGTTTTGTAGGCCAATTAAATTTATTTTTGAGAAGGAGACCAAGGAACTTACCTTACGAGAGACAAACCACATTAAAAAACAGATTTTAGATTTAAAAGAGTTTGTTATAAAAGAAAAAAAAATTAGTTTTAAAATGATTTTATGCATGATTGATGGTAAAGTCTGCAATTGTTTAACTGGAACCAAATCTAGTCAAACATGTTATATATGCGGAGCTCAGCCTAAAGATATGAACTCCTTAAATTTTGCAAATAAACAGACATCAGAAGAAGCTCTTAGTTTTGGTCTTTCTACACTACATGCTTGGATTAGATTTTTCGAGTGTTGTTTGCATGTAGCTTACCGATTAACAATCAAGTCTTGGCAAGTGAAGTCTGGAAATAAAAACGAAATGTTAGAAAGAAAACAACAGATAATCAATAATTTTAAGAAAGAATTAGGAATATTAATAGATCAGCCCAAACCTGGTTCTGGTTCCACGAACACTGGAAACACTGCTAGAATATTTTTTAGAAATTACCAAAAATCAGCAGAAATAACCGGAATTAACCTAGAACTGCTACGAAGATTTTATATTATTCTTCAAGTTATTTCATGTGGATTTGAAGTGGACGTTGAAAAATTTAAAATCTATACAACGAATACTGCAAAGCTTTATGTTTCCTTATATTCATGGTATTACATGCCACCAAGTATGCATAAAATTCTCATTCATGGAGCAGAGGCAATAAAACATGCAATAGTTCCTATTGGTCAATTGGGAGAGGAAGCACAAGAAGCGAAAAATAAAGATTTTAAGTTTATACTGGAGCATATGTCTAGAAAGGATTCTTCAGTGCATACTAATCGTGACATTTTTAACTACCTTTTGCTATCATCAGATCCATGTATTTCCTTTTTTTCAGTTAAAAAAGCAAAACAAAACAAATTGAAATTATCCAAAGAAGCCCTAGATTTATTAAAAGCACCTTCAATAAATGCATCTGAATCTTCTGATTTATCTGATCCAGAAAATATGGACGGTGATTAATTTTTAGGTTCCCATATGGGAATTATACATACATATGTAATTATTCTTTTATTTTTTGTATTTTTTCTTATTACAAATATAAAAATATAAGTTTTTTTTTGGAAAAAAAACATATATTTTTCTTATTAGTACTTTTCGAATAAACTACTATTCATTTTGTTCAGTATTTACATATTCGAGAATTTATTCGCGCTAGGGTAGGCGATTGAACCACTGTGCGGCGTACAGAACCATTAAAAGATTAAATTATCACCTGCTAAATGGCACTCAAATTTTGTGAATCACTACACAGAAAAAAATCTAACATAGTACCAAGAACAGCGCTGTCATTGAATGCATTAAAATTGAAGCAATCTAAATTGTTATTTGCTCAATTAATTACTATTAAACCAAAATAGGAAAATATTTTGCCTAAATGTAAAAGAATTTATTGAGTTAAATGTATACATAGTAAACATACAATAGTAACGTTATTAAATAAATCAAATTAGTATTTAATGCAATAACATTCTAACATTCTAACAAATAAATATCAATATGAATATCAATAGATTTAGGAGCGATAACTTTTGTTGTTAATTTAAAAACAGTAAACGATTATAAACCAAGTGCTACCTATTGGTATTATAGGAACTATTATTCAGGATTACGGATTACAAGATCCCATTGGTTTAATGGCTCACCCATTCATGCTATGCTAGCGTTTTTTCTGTGTATATATAGAGTGTTTTTAAATAGTTATTTTTTACTAGTTAAAGTTTGACTTATTAAAGATAAGAGTTAAAAGTAACTAATTTCTTTAATCGTTTGCGGCCAACAACAAAGTATTATTTGAATTAAATGCATATACCTAGGCTCCATGGTTAAATGACCCATAAGAACAAATAAAGATGCAAAAAGTTTAGCTCAAAATATTATGAACAATATTTATTGACAAATAAAATTGATTTTTATAAGAGCGGCTGATGGCCGAATGGGTTATGACAACAGCTTGACAAGTGGCAGACCTGAGTTCAATCCCCGGCTGGGTCAAAACTTTTTTTAAATTTAAATGTACTAATTTGACTATTTTATTAAGTAGAATTTAACTAATTATTAGTGACTGCTTTTTCGCTATGACAATTAGTCAAATATGACTAATAATGAGTTATTTTTGACTAATTCATTTTAAGAGAGTAGAAAAACTCTTTTTAACTAGGTATCGCTAAAAAGTGTTTTTCTAAACTACTACTCTAACTAAAGAGATTATACCCTATTATACCCAAAGTTAATACACCCCATATGTATTATCTTTGATTATACCTAGGTACTTTATAATTTAAAAAAAAAATTACTAAAAATGATTCGCAAAACTCAAAATATTCCCTTCTGCCCCTTTCCCCAGTAACTTTTTTCTATAATTTAATATTGGCAAGTTTATGTTAAAATGTAGTTATAATTTTTTTAATCATGATCCTTTTATATTATTAACATTTTGACTTCTTTCAGCTTGGAAAAATGTCACTTTCCCGCATAGGTCTACAATTTACTATTTAATATCACTGTAATTTAGAACGGACAGAAGAGACAAATGTATTTTTTTTTTATTTTTTTGCATTTATGTTTGTTTTTTAAATATAAACTATATAAACTGGCCAAAAAGGCTAAAATTTAAAAATAAAAAACCCCCATGTAGATATTATCAAAATTCAAATTTTTTGTGGGTAAAACCGAAAATAGCACCTAACCGTTTTAACCCAACTTTTACACAAGTATACAAAGTTTGGCATAATGTTTTCTGTATAATTACAACAAAATATTTATTTTTAAATTAAATAGGTTTTGGTTACAGTAGAAATATCAGACTAAACAATATACCTATACCTACAATTTTTACCCATATTCTGATTTGTCTATCTACAATGTAGATTCCACATTACTTTTTTCTAATAAAACAATCTTTAAAAAAATATATATTTACAATTTTCCAAACAGAACTGATTAATTATAATTATTTTTACCAAATTACATACATTTTCTAATTGATAGTTATCCCTATGGATACAAGCCACAAAAATGTTGTATCCATGACAAGATTGTATTCTATTAAATTATGGATAACTAATATAGTAGTAAATATGGTAATCTAAAATAAACTCTATTTAGAGTCTAAATTTTAGACTAATATTGAATAAACTATAAACCCTATAAAGTTTGGTTTATATAATTTTTATTATTAGATCCATATAAATAATACTGTTAGAGTGTTATTTTTATGATAAGTCCCTACCATTCATCCATTATAATATAATTATCATTTAACCCAAAGGTCAAGTTTTCTACATATTTAAAAATACTTACAAATTTTAGTGGTGGAATTCCTGGATGACACAAAATTACAACACTTAACACTGTTAAAACCAATTCACTAACTGGAGAAAAATAAAAATAATTATCTGAATTCCGTTTAAGTGCTGTAAACAAAGATATTGATTGATTTTGTCGCAACAAGAAAAACAATGATACTTAACTATTCGGAAATTTTATCTTAAATTTCTTTACATAAATAACCTGCAGTGACCTAAGTCTTTCAACATTTTTGTTTGTTGGAGGAATATTATTTTGAAACTTATTGTTTTTTAAATTTTGCATTAATACTGTTTATAGCAAAATACCGAAAATACGCAATAGAATATTGTCAAAATGTATAATTGTAAATGTGTTTAATATAATGGATAGGTTAGGAGCTATTTACTTATTTTATTGATATTGGTTAAACAAAGTACTTACGTATTTTAATGTAGATAAAAATGCTTCAATAAATATAATTATTAATAAACGTTTTTGGCTTACCAACTGAAAATGTTATACGCAAACACTAATACTAATGCTTTAAATATATTATAAACTCTTCTAAATTAAATTGTGTATTTAATTACTTACAAATATGTATTTAATGTTGTTTAGGTAATTAATTGGCATAGAAAGTAAAAGAGAGTTTACAACATGACGAACTAGACGACTTAATATCATTAAGCTATTTTTATTTAAATAATACATTATATTTTATCTTTTTCTTCCAAATTTTCTTCTGAATCTGTCTTACGCGATTTAAAAGCCTTAGATGGAATATCAATGTTTTTTATAGATCTATAAGTGCTGTCATATCGAATATCCTTATATGTTTCTTTCTTAGGTGGACTATTTAAGACTTTTGGTTTAGAAATACCCTTCAATTATATTAATAAATTTTGTAATGTTTATTTGTATTATTGACTTACCACTGAGGAGGCAGGTGTACTGGAATTACTTTCACCCATTGTCCTTACAACCCTTGCTATTTTTAGGCCATCACTTTTCCTGCGTTTTCTTTTAATTGTGTCAAGTGGTTGATATAGGCACCTAAAGAAACAAAAAATTAAAATGGTAGCCACGGACTAACGTTAAGAAATTAACAAATGAATAATTAGAGAATTCATTATTTTACCCTCAGTAGAGCCACGAAGCACAGTGGACTGGAATGGCAAAAAGTGGCCAAAATCCATTAAAAAAAGTTATGAAGATATCATTATGAAATTTTAACACTATGTTTTTGCGGTATTCGTCTTGATCTTGTACAAATTTTAATTCAATTGGCTCAATGAAATTTTGTTAAAGTAAGTTAAAAATTTAATTATTTTAGAAAGTATTTAAAATATCGTATATAATTTTTAAGACAGATTTCATATATTTTTAATCTTGATTCTGTACACATTTTAATTTAATTAAATTAGTAGCGGCGGTTTAAAGTTTTCTTAAAGTAAGTAAGTAAAAATTAAATTACTTTAAAACAAATTTAAAATATCATTATGAAATTTTTACATAGGTTTTATAACAAGTTGCAGGGGCGGCTAGTGTATAAGGGCTGCAGACAGGGGCGTGCTGGCTAAATCAGACCGGCCCGGGAAATTCAGAAAAATCGGCCAACTACACACGAAAAAATGGGGGGTGAACAAAACCAAGTTAAAAAATTTCAAACATTTATTAATAACTAATAAAAAAAGTATAAATTAAACAGGCAACAAACTCAACCAGACAATATTTTACACAATGCTAAAACATACATAGCATTGCACTTAAAATAAAAACTTATACAAATTATCATCGCTCAGGAAACTTATAAACAATATACAATCTCGAAAAAAGAAACAAAGCTGGTAGGCTGGCATGTGTATGTGTAAAATAATTATGATATTTATACATAACTTAACTAAAAAACTTTTTAATTGACCACGTGCTGCGGCATGCTGCCTACATAGCCCTCCGGCACACCGGCCCACTTAGCCCTCCGGACCACCGGCCCACCGGGATTTCTCCCGGTGTGCCGGCGGCCCAGCACGCCCCTGGCTGCAGAGCTGCAGAACTCCCATAATTTTCTTATTACTTGACTAATTTTTTAATTATTTAATATTTAAGTGCGACAGTGTATAAATATTTCAAACGCATGGCTGCATAAAAAGTTTTTATTATAAACAATCGCCGTGTCGCCGTACTTGGCCACTACAGTCATCCAAACGACCGGTAAAGGTCTCTAACGCCTAACGCTTACAATACAACAAAGCTGGGCCACTTTCGAGTTCTGGCTCCCATTTCAATACCGTAATTTTGCTCCGCGCCGCTCTTGGTCCTGGGTTAAGATAGCGAAATTTAAGCCAAATCGGAGCTGCACCAACATACAGTTCCTACTTCCCGGTCGTTTGTTTTTGGCTTCGCGTTCACGTTTGTTATTTTAACTAGAAGACTGTTAATTCTGTGTATTTTTGTGTTTGTTGTTGTATTCTTTTGTAAGAATGAATGTGGAGTATGATTTAATTATGATTTAATTAATTATCTGTAGGTACCATTTAATTAAATGCCAACTGCGCCACATTTTTTTAAACCACACTGGCAGAACTCACAAATTTAACTGCCACGAGCCGCCACTGACAAGTTGTATATAAAGAATATTGATTATGTACAAAATTTAATTTCACGGCCATTTC